GTATTGTTATTTACCAATAACAAATAATGTTATTTGTTTATTTTGGACTAGTTTTATTTAATCCAATTTTAGATGTAAGCCACTTTGATTGCCATGGCAAAAGGTAGGGTATAAAAATCAATCAATCAATCAATCAATTAATAAATAATAGTTCTTGTTCTTGTTGTTGCAAACATCAAAAGCAAAATTGCCTTCAAAATAAGTGTCTTCCTACCAAGAGTGACACATAAGACATTCAGTCTGAAGACCTGAGAGTCTGTCCTCCCCCCCCCCCCCTCCAGGTAGAAAGATCTTTATGGGCTTCTATTTTTTTATTTTATTTTTTTAATATACAAAAGCATGTCAATTTCCCTGAGCATACACAGAAGGAAAGAAGTGTGAGCAACCTTACTGGATCAGCAACGATAGCTGGAGGGCACTGGAGGATCTGCGACTAACCTCCCCAATCTGAGCCGAAACGGCTCCAATCCAGAGATGAATGAAAAATAAATAAAGTGCCAATTTCACCTGGAGCTTTTTCCTATATTGCAAGGATTCCACTCCTGCCTGAATTGGATTCTGTTTTGAAACATTAATTGAGTGAGACAACTAAATATTAATAGAAGTCTAGTCCCACTTTTGGTCTCTGGGTGTGCACTCTCCTTTTACACTGAATCTGCAAGGGGGCAAGCAAGAGGGATAGGGAATGGGCAGGGACTTTATCAGGCTTCTGTGACCTTGCATTGTATGGAGGAAATGCATCTCTTTGCATGGAAAAGACAGAGTGATGTTCTCCTGCTTCCCAAAATGTTAGTCATGTTAGATATCCAGGGTCTGTTCACCTTCTATAGTATAACTTCTGACATTTCACAAATGGAATCTGGGACATGTGGCCAAGCAACATCAGAGTGTGGTGAAGATGGCAAAAAGTTATTAATAAGGAAGAACAGACAAGCTAGGAGAAGCTGTAGCCTTGCAGGGATGGGCAAGATTTGGTCCCTCCTCTCCTGTCCCACTGCTGTGTTCTTGCAAGCAAATAATTTTTGCACATTGAGCTCCATTTACAGCAATTGAAGTAAGCTGAGGACAAAGGGAGAAAAATGAAAGGAGGAGAGAGAAACTAGGAGACCTTAAAGGCAATTGAAAAATGGGATGACAAGGGATCAATTGGAACTGTTTCTGCCAAATTGGGACAGTTTGAGGTATGCTATACCAGGGGTGGTGAACATGTGGCACTCAACTTCAGTAGAGGACCATGGACTGGAGCTGATCTGCAAGCCATTGGTAACTGGTCTGTGGTGAGTTTAGGAAAGAAAGCAACAACTGTAGGCAATGGACATAACTATTGATTAGTCCCTGGCACATTATGGGAAATAAATGCTGGTCCATATAAATATCCTAGATCAGTTCTACTGGCCATGCTGGTTGGAGGATTGTGGGATCTGTAGTCCAAAAAAATTCTTTCCTTCTCGCCAAGCTCTGATTTGTTCATCTCTGCTTCTAGGCTCATTCATGCTTGATATTTTTAAATGCACATTTGGGGGGATGGGAATTAGTACAATTCAAAAGAGGTAATGTGCAAAAGTCCCTAACAGACTCCCCCTCTCTGTCTTTCCCCAGTATTCTCTCATGTTCAGGGTCAGAGGCATGACTCTAGAGAGCAGTACTTAATTTCAGAGCACATTATCACTGATTGGCAGCAAAAGTGACTTCACTGAGCATTTCTAATGCAGATGAGATCTAATATCCTTCCCCATCTGCCTCTGATGCTTAAGTACATGAGATCCTGGTGCCACTGGGCTGGCTCATGGTTTAGCGCTATGGCACAACCGGGAAGATTTATGCTGCTCCACATGACTGTCCCATCCATCCATCACTATTAGCTTCAATAAAATCTTTCTCCTTGTTTTTAAAAGCCCTTTGAGTTAGATTCCATTATGGAGTTAACATATCACAGATGGTCAAGTTGTCATTCTGGGCTTTAGAAAGGGGGGTCTGGGAGAGAAGGGAAGACGAAGACATGCAGAAACTCTTGGCAATCTTGGGATGCTAAACAACCAGAAAGGAGAATGGTTAACTCACTGTCTGTATCCCTTGATGTGTTGCAAGACCTTGCATAGAATATCCTTTATCTAGGAGAGATGATAGGCTCCAAAGGCTAAGATTCTGCACCAGGGTTGCATAGCATAAATTTCTGCATGTGAAATTATGCACATTGAATGTGCATGCACATTGACATATACATTGACATGCATTGATGAGCACATCTTCATTTTCATCTGAACACTGAGTGCACAACAGCACCTCCTTTGTAAATCTCCTTCTGAAATCTTTAACTGAATGTGGACCTTGTTCATGAGATAAAAAGTCCAATTGCTTCCATAGGGGAACTTATTACAGTTGGGTCTTCATGTCCACGGATTCTTTATCCATGGATATCCAATGGTTGAATCCATTGTTTGAAAATATTAAAAAATTTATAAATTTCAAAAAGCAGACCTTGATTTTGCCATTTTATATAAGGGACACCATTTTATGACGCTGTTGTATTTAAAGGCACTTGAGCATCCATGGATTTTGGTATCCACAGAAGGTTCTGGAACCAAACCCCAATGGATACCAAGGAAACACTCTCTCTCTCTCTCTCTGTGTGTATATATATATATATATATATATATATATATATATATATATATATGCACAATATATTTTGAGCTCTGAACACAAGAGTTTATTTGATGCTAGTGGATCACAAGATTCCCCCAACAAAGTTATGTTGGGGATATGGTAACAAACATACCCATGCTAGGAGAAGGCAACTGTAGTAGTAATCCCAGTACCTTCCATGGCCATTCAATGGTTGTCAGGGTTGTAGAGTGGAGCTGTGTCCTGGCATCATATGGTTACCAAGGAAATGTTGTGTAAAGAGATACTGGATACCTCCTTGTGAAATCATGTTAGATTGTACTTGTCCTTCCATAACCTGGTGTCTTTAGGCTATTTAGGTGTGCTATGATGCAAGGCATTAGTGCACAGGAAGTATGGATTGCTGCACTTCCTCTAGTCATTGATTCTCTGCCAAGTGGGAACAGACTAGTAAAAGAATTTACTTTAACCAAAGAGGGATCCTTGTTTCAGATAAAAGACACACACACACACAAAGAAAAACACAGAGAACAGAAACATTTATATGATGGGAATACCAACTATAGTTTAACCAATAGTGCAATGGATTACAGTCCAGAGAAGTAATGGCACCATAGTGATAATATGGTGGGTGAATCTCTATATCCTCTAACATTTCATAGAGGAAAACTGGAACACATGTGGCCAAGCAACCTCAGAAGGTGGTCAAGATGGCAAAAATTTTTGATGAGGAAGAAGATACGAGTGAAGAGAGATTGCAGCATTTTGCTTTTGCCTGAGTCCACTGGGAAGGACAAGATCCTATGCCCTCTTCTCCTCTCTCATCTGCTGAGTGCAAACTGAAGAGAAAGGGAGAAACCGGGAATAGGAGAGAGAAACTGTAACATTTTTAAAGCAGCTGCAAAAGTGGGATGACAGTGGATTAATCAGGACTGTCCTTGCCAAGACAGGACAGCTGAAGGGTATGAGTCTCCTTAAAAAGTAATTACACTTTTTTTAAAGAAACATTTCTAAGCATGTTTATACCAAGTCAAATCACTTGTCCATCCAGCTCAGAATTGTCTCCGTGGAAAGGCAGGAACTCTCCAGTCTTTTGGGCAGGTGTGTGTTCCTAAGCCTGCTATAGGGTTTGAACTTGGAACCTCCTGCTTGCAAAGCATGTGCTCTATCACTGAGCTACAGCCCTTCCCCTAAATTGTTCAGCATCAGTGGGCTAATAGTCAGAGAAAACAGTCGCCTTTTATGTCCACAAAAGCAAGGCCTACCACACAGGTGCCATGTTTTACAACCCTGCTCTATCTTGTCATTCAGGAGAGCTCCCTGAACAAATTGCCTGTCATATTTGAAGATAAAACTTGACAGTGGCAGAGCTGACAAGCTGTCCTCAACCCTGACATACAACAACAGAAACTTGAATCTTGCTCTACTTGCATTGGATGGATTTGTCTTCAGAGATTCACAGCAGAGCTGAGCGCTGGCAGGGAATATACACACGCACACATACACACTGTTACCGAGTGTCAGCCTTTATTAAAAAGATAGCTTTCAAAAGGGTTCTAAATACAGGTTTAGCCATTTCCCCCTTATTTATTTATTTTTCCATAGGTAGTTTTCTTAAAGAAAGCATATATTGTCACATGCCTATGTAAAAATAATAGCACGAGCGTCTTTTAAGCAATGAAAATACAGAACCAGACCCGGAGAGATATATTTTCTTTACACTTTAATAGAGAAATTTATTTACTTTTATAGGCCATTCCAGTTTTTTTTTTTAAAGCCCTTGGGGTATCCCCAGGAATACATGCTGTAAATAAGCCCTAAACAGCAATTACCTAGCAGTTTCAGTAATTATAGATATCATGCTACTCTAGTAACTCGTCTTAAGAACTATTGGATTCTGCTCTAAATTACCATAAAGATTCTGCTTTAGATAAATAGATAAGGTTACATCTATTTGTGGCAGTCCTTCTAATTACTGAAGAGGATAACTGGGGAATGCTAACTTAATGATCTTTAGCAATTGCACGATTGGCAGGTTAGATCGGCTGGAGAGTCTGTGTGATGATTGATTCTGAAGTGAAGCTTTTGATTTTTAAAAGGTCCTGTGTTCATCTCAGAGAGCCAGCATAACATAGTGATTTGAGTGTTGGACTGCTACTCTGGAGACCAGGCTTTGATTCCCAGCTTGGACATGAAACCTACTGGATGACCTTGGGCAAGTCACACAATCTCAGGCTCAGAGGAAGGGAATGATAAACCTCCTCTGAACAAATCTTGCCAAGAAAACCCCATGATAGGGTTGCCTTAGGGTGGCCATAAGTTGGAAACGACTTGAAGGCACATAACAACAATATTCACCTCTGCTGTTAATTTGAATTCTGCTCTGGAAGTGACCTTCTGGGCATTTAACTCCACAGCAGTGGAGAAAGCAAGAGGTAACTTATTAAAGAGCATCTTCTAGTTTCAAGGCCTTGAAGCTGCCATTATTGTTTGAAAAGGGTTGTCTGTACAGTCATGTATAATTTTCTAATCCATACAGGATTGATCAACATTAAAAACAATGACTGGAATTCAGCATGGGACATACAAGTATCTCTGTAAATGGATTTAAGTGTGAATGAAAGGAAACTAAGCAGGTTTTCAACTTCTGTATTTACTTGAAAACCAGTGATTATACCAAAATATGATCTAAATAATATTGTAACAGAATTTATTGACAACATAAGAAACATATTTGCACTACTAAACATAATAGACTGAGAACCAGAAGAACTATGGTCTGGAGCCAGGGACATAATAAAAGAAGAATGCAGACAGATGCTTTCAATAAACAAAAAGAAAGAGGAAAAAACATGGATTAATTAAGGGGCTGCATGAATTAAGGAGAGCAGTGGAAGACAGAGAGTCTTGGAGATGTCTCATTCATAGAGTTGCCATAAGTCGAGATTGACTCAAGGGCAGTTAACAGCAACAAATTCACCTGTGACTGCTGTGACATACAAATAAGGCCATATGTTGCACATTGGTAGCCAATTGAGTGTCTGGTGCACCATGGTGCACACATATTAAGCTCAGTCAAACAAATTGGCCAGAATTCTGTTGGTCACAGGTGTAATTTGCACTACACACATGGAGTGGCTTTTTGAACAATGAGGAACAGACCAGCTGACCGTGGTAAGAGTGGCGTTCCATGCAAGGACTATTGCAGATGTGAAATAATACATCTAGAGCAGTGTGTGAATGCATATTGTGTACTGTGCATTGCCACCCTATATGCAGTGTACATTGTGCAATGAACTGACAGCCATGTGCGGTGACCATTTCTTATATAGTGAGCCCTTGGTAGCTGGTGGGGTTTGGTTCCAGGACCCCTCGTGCATACCAAATTAAATACAATGGAATAGTGAAATGGTGTTCCTTATATAAAATGGCAAAATTAAGGTTTGCTTTGGGAATTCATATTATTTTTTAATATTTTCAAGCCATGGATGGTTGAACCCATGGATTGAAAAAAATTGAGGACACAGAGGGCCAACTGTACATTGCCTACAATGATATTTACTATAGACATTTTGCAGTACTAGTGTAGCATGACTCTGCAAGTGGATATCTACACTACCCTGAGATAATGTAGGATCTTGCCCACAGTGTCTTCTAACTTTAAAAGAGGCACTCCACATTGGAAATTGTATGTTAGACTCTGGAAGTCTAGGAATAGAATGATGTAAATTGAGTAAAACATCATGACGAAGAGAAAAAAGATCTATACTGAGCTTGACAGTTCTCATCTCAGTACTGAAATGTACTGTATATTTGTTGAGTTCTCAAGTACAGTTTGACATATTTTACTAAAAAGAGAGAGAGAGCAAATATTTAATGATGAAGAAGTTAAGTGAGGAGATTTAGACTTATAAAGATATAGGATTTTCAAGGGAGGGATTGCTTGGGGAATGGAGGGTCATGACTGGTAAAGTAATATAGCCATCACCTTCTGGCATAACATATCTTTTCTCTGTTGAAATCTATCCAGAGGTTGAAATATTTGTCTTTGTAAACACTAAGCGCTCACATTCAAAATGAGTTGTAGCCAGAGGGGATGGAGAGAAGAAAATTTAGGGCCTGGAATTTAGTTAGTATTCAGACAGTGGGAGGAGAAGCATCTGCAGAAGATGATCTGGTTGCATGTGAATAAAATAAAATGTGAGACAAGGTACTTGTCTGCATGGGCTCAAAAGCCTGTCCCATCCCCCATCACCCATACACACACACATTCTGCTGTTTGAATGGCATATGGCCCAAACTATGGTTCTGGTATCGGCAGTCTGGATGACATCTGGTACATCTCACATCATAACTAGGGCATAACAAGGTTAAAATTAATTTTAAAAACTTACCTGTTGCTCTGGGAAGATCTAGAGCCTTCTGTTCCTGTACTGTGGTAGTTATCTGATGCATGGCATGGACACGATGGGTTGTTTTTTCTGGGGTCAGAAAGAGATCTCCAGCATGTGACCATTGCTAGGCACCTCGTCTGACCTCAGAGGTGAGCAACTTGCAGCATACCCACCAGGCAGCCCAGAAGGACACCTGTGCAGACAGTCACTGTGGCTTTAAAACAGAGGCCAAGGTAATGAGGGGAAATCAGGACAACTGTGGGGCCAGGATACTCCAGGCTGCCCCTAGAGGATCCTTGCCAGTGCAGACAAGGCCAAGGTTTCATTGTGGATCTCTAAGGAGGGCTTCCAGTTTTTGCATTGATGCAATTTATACTAAGTGTGAGGAACTGCTTGTAGCCAAAGTCTATTTCAGATAAATTCTTCCATTGGTGAACAGGGCCAAAAGCAAAAAGCTTGGCCCAAAAATATCACTGTATTTTAGCTTCACACTTACTGATGGTTCCTAAGCCTCAAAAGAGGCATTTTAACACCCCTAGAGCAGAGGAAAGTCTGTTTTTTGAAAAAGGGGGAAGCAAATAATGATGTCAAGGGAAAGGAAATATGGCCAAGCATAAAATCTTGGATTCAGCCCCATGGCCTGAAATTTACCAGTACAGAGATTGGTCATTTTGGATTATCCAGATGAGTATGGCTGAGACTGGACATGGTGCAAGGCTCTTCCATGAACTCCATACTGAAAGGAGGAGCTTTCATTGCCTGTCAGCTCTTACAGTGGTTATTAGACCTGGGATGTGGCAAGATGGACCCAGTGTGGTGTAGTAGTTTGAGTGCTGGACTAGAACTCCAGGAGATCTGAATTTCTGCTCAGCAATGGAAACCTCCTGGATTACTCTGGGCAAATCACATTTTCTCAGCTTCAGAGGAAGGCAATGCAAACTCCTTTTGAACATATCTTACCAAAAAAACCTTGTAGTAGGTTCACCTTAAGATTGCCAGAAACCGGAAATAACTTGAAAGCACACAACAGTAGTATTAACAACAATAACAACAAAGCAAGATAAAGGGAATCCATAGCCAGAAAGTGATTGCATCTCCAAATTGCTGAATACATCGGGCAAATCTGCTCTGGAAGAGGAGGAGTCAGCAGACATCAGTTGACTTGCTCTGCCTTACAGGTGTAAAGAAGCTTCTTGCTGGTGTTGTTGATGCTGTCCTTTCATATAGCCAGAACTGGATGGTGATTGTCCCATCTTGTATCCTTATCTGACAGATGTCACTCACCAGTTTATGATTCTCTGTGGCACTATTGTTTAAGCCTGGTGTGAGGATAGAAGAGGCTTCCTCCATTCCTTCCTGACCCCTTTTCCCCTAGACACAGATGCGACCCGATACACCTACTTCACAGACAATCGATGAGTTTTGACCTACGTGCTTTAAAAGGTCATGGAAGAGCTGTGTCTTCTGGAATGCGGTTCTTACCTCCGTGAATCATAGTAACTAAATGCTGTAATTATCATTCCCCGGAGCCACATCAAATGTTCTTTAACAGCCAGCCCTCTCATTGTGGCATGTCTTTCAAAAGTCTTTTCACCCAAGGGACGGGCAATCTATTATAAAAGGAACTTTTCTGACCCCATTAGCTGGAGAGGCAGAAGTAACTTTGAACTATAGATACTGAGGCCTAAGAGAACAGTTTGCAACCCCTCATCCACCAGGGACATGCAAAGGAAGGGCTTTGACATTAGGCAACCATTAAATAATGGAAAGCCAATTTTGAGCTCTGGTGTTA